ATTTTCGACTTTGCGTGGCCCATCTAACACACATACACATGCTCGGTAAGCGCGTCTCGGTTGCCAGTATACGGTATTACGTATCATGCTTCGTACTTGTATTGATATGTTTAAAAATTCGGACGCCGGAAACATTACAGACGTTCATGGAGATAGAACACGAAGCGGAGTCGATGCAGGTGTTTCCGCGTGCATCGACCGTGTTTCGGTTTCGACTCTGTCGAACGCGTCATGAGCGTACAATGGCGATCTTTACGAGGAATCCCTTTGGGCTTTTGGAGCCAGGGGAGAGGCAAAAAACGGGAGCGGACGCCTTTTTTGCCATCGATTTTCGTTTCCCTAGAGTTGAACGCGAACGTTTCATGCAGTTAACGCGTCAAAGACAATAACGCGACAATCTTGATTACGAGTGCAACAAATGGCATCGTAACGCAGAAATGATGGACAGGAAGGGAGGAAACGAGGAAATAATTTCCATACGTTCGAACTTTGAAGGAACGCTTAAAGGAAATCGGAGGAAAGATGACTGCATGGAGGATGTTTCGAGGATCTCTCTCGGGTAGAATATCGTGTAAAATTTAAATGCTGTAGCTGAGTTTATAGCTGGGCATGCACGTAGTAGAAAATATGGTCTCTATCGTCGAAGTTTTAAATGATAAAAAAGGACTCGGAAAGTGGAAATGGCACGGTATGCATCGAACACGTTCGACAGACCCACTCGAATTCTCTCTTCCCTCTCCGCACGAATGAATTTTGAAAAATCGAGAAACACGATTCCAAAGCTTACACAACCTTTGTCTTTCTCGTGGATTTGTAAAACTCGCGAAAAATTCATGATTCTCGAGAACTTCGGAAGCCTGTTCATCGATCTTCTCGCATGCTAGAGCGACGAACGGAACGGCACGACACAAGAGTCTCGAAACGATACGAAGAAGACGATGCTTCGTGTTCGGATAGTTATACGTAATACTTACAAAGACGGTGAGATTAGACCGCGACGCACAGGTGTACAGAATGTGTAACAGTTTGTCAGGGAGACTGACAAGTTCGGTTCTTCCGCTTTGAGCCAAAGAATGTCGCTATACCTTACGAGCTACAATAATACTGCCACGGTATATTTAATATCCAACAAAGTATATATAAATATATATGGTTCTCACTTATCAGACACGCATTCCATCGATTTTGCATTTCAACCTCATGTTTACGCTATAGCGTACGTGTTGCAACTCCTTTCTCTACCTTTCGTGCTTCCGTTATTTATGCAGCCAGTTTACTTCGAAGTGGAAGGAGAACGCGATTTTGAACGCGTTCAACGCATCAACCATCGTAACGCTCGTCTTCGTTCCCTACGTGTACCATTTACACTCGACTACTTACAGTTAGCTTAAATATTTATTTGGTAGTTCAGCTCTAACATCGATGCACATTGCCTCCGGTTCGACATCGTCGGCGACTCGAACAATGACGCGCGATAGATGGATGCAAGGGTGCTAAGGGTATTAACGATGGTTTGATTTTTTTTTTTTCCTGAATAAACAACAAGTAAAAAGTGCGCAATGTAATTCTGTTCGTAAAAAGCTTCGATTCGGTTTCGTTATTGTTTCGTATCGCGACGGTGATTACTTGTGGTGTCGGTGGCTGGAATTCTTCAACGTAATTCGATCGAATTGGACAAGAGGAAGTCGTTGGCTTTTCAGACGTCCTATCTGCGAAATACGGCGCGACTACGAAAAGAGGTCCGCGAATATATGATAAATACCTTTCGCCGGGACAAGAGTTGAGCTGTTCGATTGTCCAATATCTCGTTGTTCCTCCTTTCAGGACAAACGCCGCTTCAAATGAAGTGACTCGTCTAGAAGCTGACCAGTTTGTGAAAAGCTTTGCGAAATTCGGGATTGAACACAGTGTAAATCACGGGATTTACGAAGCTGTTCATGTAGCCTAACCAAGAGGTCACGATGAAGGCTATGACACCGGGCTGACAGTTTAGCGTCAGCTTTTTGCAAATTGCGTCCATGATGTTGCAGGTGAAGAACGGCAGCCAGCAGATTAAAAATACACCTGGAACAGAGAATGGATATTCTACCTGTTAGGTGATGGGAAGAAAGAGCAGGACGAGCAAAACGTACCTAACACGATAGCCAGCGTTTTCGTAGCTTTACGCTCCTTCTTCGCGGAGCTCTTCTCCCGTTTCTTCTTGCTCGCTTTGTTAGCTTTGTATATCGTAAACCGAGAGCCCGAAACGGCATTTTTCTTGTCCTTCTTGCAGGCAGACGAACCAGACAGGACGCTTGGCGTTCGCCCAAGCTGAAGAGGAAGAAGGGACCCGGCGCTCTTGAGCCTCTTTAATTCTTGCTTGTTCGTTTCGGCGCCGTTCTTCTTGGGCTGCGAGGCCTGGCTCGCCGGCGCACTTTTCGGAGGCGGCGACGAAGAAGTGGAGGACGACGGAGCCGAGGTGATTCGTGGGTTCGGGCTTGGGCTGGAATTCGTTTCTAGCGGTTCGTGAATCACCGTGCTGCTCGCTGCACCGTCATATCCAGAGTCCTTTCTGGCATTCTGCGTTCCACCCAGCTGAGCTTGAGCCACTGCGCTGAAACGACAACTGCAATTCGAGTAATCAGCAACACTTCTACACAACGTCGGTCTAGCGTATTCGATCACTTTTGTTTGTTTGCAATTTCTGTAGCTGCGAGCGAAAAACCGTTGTTTCGTGTACTATGGCTACAGGGACGAACGTTCGCATTCGCTGTCAAAACGCAACAGACTGACGAGAAATTAGTTCTTGTTCGGGCAAGTTAGTTCATCTCGTTCGAAACGTTCGATTAGTTGAACAATACGCGGGCATTAACGCGCTATCCGCGTATGGCTGTATGCACGTACGGCTGAACAACAAATCTGTCTGTGTAATTGTACCGTGTAGATGCAACCGCTCTCGGCGATTAGTCTCAAAGATATCAGTGTACATACACTGCATGTTCGCATACACGCGGATCAACACGTATCTATCTTACGATTAGTCCACGTATTCCGAAGCCCCTATAGCGTAGCGAATAGATATCTATCGTCCTTGCACGAGATTCGAAAATCTTGAATAGGTATACTTACGCGGTGCCCATGCCTCTAGTGCTCCTCCACGTTCACCGCCGGCAAACGAAGAAATCGAATCATTTGTCGTCCCCTCCCTCTTCCTATTCGTTACCTATTCCATTGTGCCGATCGTGACTGCCCGTCTTTCTCCTTTTTCACTTACGTTTCGTTACCGCAAACGAAGGCATGCATCGATCGAGACCGCGTCTTCCGCGTTCAATCGATATAGTTACTACTCCAACTTGCTGGGCCAGTGGACACTCCACAAACAAACGAATCGATTTCACAGTGGACCGAGTTTATTGGTGTTTTGTTCCTATTTTTATCGAATGTGTCGACGAGTAATTCTTTACGCCAATGAATTATCGACTCGTAGGCAATATAAAAAATCCAAGCTTCCTTTCGTGCAACTCGTATGCGGAAAATGCAATTCAATTCCTTTTCTTTCGCTGGTCGTTCTTCTTCGAAAAGGTTGGTTTGCACTCTGTCGTAACGTGAGATAAAGCATAATTAGCAAGCAGCTCGAAGAGGTTTAAAAGACACGGCGTTTGGGCGCAAAACAGTGTCAAATAAGAACGTCGACGCTATCTTCATTCGCGAATCTAATCAATTAAGAGTCTAATTAATTAAACCTGCTCCTGCTTCCCAAAGTAATCGAAAATTCATTTCCTCCAATGAATAGGAAAATAGTATTCTTTCTTTGTTCGTTGTACGCTGTTGGTTTCGAATACTAATTGATTTTAGTCGACTATTGCTTCGTTCTTGCACTATTTTTTTCTACTCGAGACATTTTCAACGACTCTAGTTTCCCTCTACGATCTTCCACCTATTTGTCGTACAAGTATTTCTTTCATTGTTCGTTAATTACGAGTTTCCGCGAAAAAGAAGAATCAACGCGACACGCTGCGGCGCGAACGTTCGTCCGTCGATACGGATGATAAAAAAATTTTATTGGACTCTTACGCTGCTTCCTCGACGACAGTGGCCAAAAAAAACTCGGTGCTCTTATCGTTCGAGATGACCACGACAGGATCAAGGGGCGTCTCGTCCTCGTCTTCGTTGCTTCCGGACGCGGTGTTCGTCGGCTCCTCCATGCCAGGAGCCACGAGAGCTGCCGCCCCCAGCGCCGTCTCCGCAAACCTTGCCACAGAATACCCACTACGTGATCTTAGTCAAAAGCCTCTAAAAAAAAGCTTCTACACTTAGCATGCTTTTAGTATTCTTCGGCGACGCGCCGGCATTAATCCGGCAAAGAGGAAAAGTTAATCTATCATGCACAAAGCGACTACGCTTGCGCTCGCGACTTCGTTCGGAACTTTGCCACGAACAAAGAACCTAGCTTTTACTTCGTTGAATGCACCCTTCGCGATTCATGGGGATCGTAGGCCGCGTTTCAGCTGAAAATGATACGTCGGAAAGTAATTCTTTTCCTACGGGGGGGGGGGAGGGAGGGAAAGTCACGAACCTTTGATATTTCAACTGGCACGTTCTTTCTCGATTGATCGAAAACGGTAATACAATTATCGAATGGGAGCAATTTAGAATTACTCCTGCGGCAGACGTTCGATCTTGCGGTGCAATTCGAAACGAATTACGTGCGCCTTCTAGCCTATTATCCCGACCTACTCTCAACTAAAAGCTGAACTTATCAAGTAATTTCATGCGTGGATTAATATGAACATTTTCTATCCGCTGCGTACTCCGAGTACAATCGGATTATCGGGAATCGAATTTCGTAGGAACTGGATTGGCAAATGACTTAGTGTCCACGGTTCGATCTGAACCGGCAGCTCCACCAGCTTCGCGACTTTTATTCGTTCGGTAACTTTTGTCTTCGTTATTAGATACATTCGACGCGACTTTTTCAAATCGATTAACGATTTTGTAGTTCAAAATCCCGTCGAGCAACAAACAAATGATTTGGAGAACTTCGATATATTCCAAAACTAACTTTACATACAACAGAATCGATATTTGATTTTACGTATATACAATTGAATTAGTATTGTTGCCTGCTCGTTTATGTTCATATAGTTGCCAGCTACGTGCAGCCATCTAATTTGAAACGTTTGCTAATGAAAAAGCAACTATTTGTTTTTTCTAACTAGGACAAGTGCAGAAAAGCATATATGGCCAGTGTTGTACACGGTTTGCACAATGATATATCGATGCGAACGTTACAAGAGTTGGAAAGGTTATGTACAGAAACGGTATGGAGTTGTGCGAATTTCGGACGCAGGCCCGAGATTATGCTGAATGTATGAGACTCAGGGGAAAATATACGGTTTCATAGCCAAAATATGTTGCTGTAAATATCTAATTGTAAGTCTAATTTATCGATGATGGTGCTGTGCAGTAGTAAGAACCTAGAAGGAACGTATAAACAGTAATCAGCCAACCAAGGGATCATTGTTAATACCATTAAATTATCTACTTACTTGTGTTTGTATAATATATATGTTCATTCAAATGAGGCCACCTAAATATTTTTTCGAATTGTGACGATGTAAAAAATATTTTTTGCCCAACGCGAATGGTATCGAAAGGCCAATATAGATAAGAATATTTTTTTTCCAAGGTTATTGATGTTTTTTTTGGTACAACTGTATATTTTTTATTATATCGTGTAGTTGATAAAAAAAGTAATTTAAGTTTTACGTTTAATTTATATATTCATTCACGTAAAACTTAAATTTTTAAGGTCATGTACTTTTTTGTGTATATATACACAGCATCCCTTATGCGGATTAAGGCTTTTTAATTCGATCAATTCGAAACGTTTGATTTGGAAGTGCTTCTCTTGCTGTTTCATCGACTGTACATCCACGACAGCGTTGAAGTACAGTTGAAAGTATAACCTGAGGCGGGGGCAACGAAAGTTAAGTCGCGATCTTTCGCCACTCGTTCGGAAGATGGATTCCACTCCGAAAAACGATGAGGCGGGTAGTAAATCATTTTCACTGGCAAGCAAGACTACATGCCTTTCAATTCGCTGGCAAAGGAAGACAACGATTCCTTCTGTATGGTTCTTATCGATGAACAAATGTACGACCGTTGGGAAGAGGCGAGCACGAAAGCCGGCAATTAAATCGAGGCGAACTTGTTGGCTATTCAAGGCAAGTACACCGACCCCGGGTACAACGGAAATGAAGCCTGCGCGTGAGAAAAGCGTATTATACGAAGATGCTCCGGGCTTAACTACGTCTTAGCCTCTCCTCTTTTTACACGCCTTTCTTTCCCGCGCCATCTTTCTTCTCGCAGCGACGTACTCTCACCGGCACGCTCGCAATCTTCGTGAGATATTGTCTCTCGTTGGAATGCAAGAGTTACACGTGGGACAATTGAAAAAAGTGACTCGCTCGAGGAGCACGCGACACATTCGAAATGAGGCTAGTTCATCTTCGCTCGCCCTCTCTCGACGGAACCGTATTATACGACACCTTCACGGATATAACTATTCATCAGGTTGAAACAATGTTCTTTGATCTTCTATCACGCGAGATCGTAGAAATTGAATATCGATTCTTTACGCGTGGCGTGTACCGAGAGATTACACATTCAACTACTCATCGGGACGTTAGAAAATCGCCAACAGACGTTTTGTCTACCGTCGTTGAAAAGCATCAGTGGTTCAATACTATCGTCTCTTTATCTGATAATCGTTCTCCCTCTCTCTCTTCTAAAGGAAACACTTATTTACGTTCGAGATTCCTTTGTTCGAAATTATGTGTTCGTGCACAGGAGACGTTCTACAAATTGGTGGTATAAGAACGTGGCTGTAAAACAAGTATGAATTATAAAACCACGTTGCTTCTCTCTTGTACAACAGAACATGCAACAGAGTGATACATGCAAGTGAAACACATGCTGTGGAGATTATTTCGATCATCAATAAAGTATCGGCGCCGATTCTTTCTCGATTTTCTCGACGAATTTAGACACGATACGATGCG